CTTGAAATAAGTTAACACGTTTTCACGTGTATAGAAATTCAACAAATTACCAGTGCATGATTGGATTTTATCCTCCTTATTGGTCAATGATCTTGAGGTGTCAGCACGAGTTCATGTGTATGTGTGTACTTCCTATTATCATCAGCTTTTGGCTTGTTAACTTGTTATTGTTATCAACAATTTGTGTGAAATTTAAATCCCTACTGCATACCTCTTTTAATTTTATCTTTAGAAGTATATAAGTATATATGTTCAGTTTGTTAGTGTGGCAGATATTTCCACATCACTGTTGCTGTACATTTCCATTTATTCAATTGATTTATATGGAACTGTAATGTTCCGTGGAAGATATCTGTCTGAGTTTTACCATTCAGTTTTGTTGTAAAATTACTCTCATATTTTAAACGTAGATGACCCGCTGGTTAATCTCAAAGGATTCATGAAATGTTAAATTCCGTGTAAAAGTGCAATTAAAGAAAAACATTGTTTGAATGTACACATGCTAAATTTTTATGTTTTTCGTGAACTTTTTCCTATTTTTTGAAGTGGATCAATTTTAAACAATAATAAAAAAATGAAATGTTAGTGACTGGCATTTTTATCATTATGAGAGTGTTATTATTTAACTTTTTTATGACTGCTTATATGTGAACATATTTACTAGTATTATAAATCCCTGTTGTCATAATCTGACGGCCAAAGTTATACTTTTTAAATGTCTCCGATCATGTCTCATATATTTCGTAGGGTTCAGAAAAAAAGATTTTAATCTTATGTGTATGTGCTCTTATTGTACTATTTCTGTTTACTGAATTTGAGCATGGTAAATATGACAACAGAAATAAGTCTGCAAACGTTGCAATGAAAAGCCATATGGTAGGATCTGAAAAAACAAATTTAAGTAACAGTCCGTTTAAACTTCTGAACGAAATAGATATCAAAATTCGTAAAAAGGTACCAGAGCGAACGATATACGGAAATATATACAGTGGTAAACAGAAAGTACAAATAGAAAGTTATATATCAGCTATAAAGAATTTTACAAAATATAATGTCGTAAAGACAATTTGCGAAATTGGAATTGATGGAGGACATAGTGCAACCCTTTTCCTTTTTTAACAGATTCCGCTAGTTATACGGGATTTGATATGTGGGATCAACCTGTGTATGAGAACATTGCAATTGAATGGGTAAGAAAACAATTTGAGAGTCAACGAAAAACCCTTATTAAAGGTGATTCTACAAAAACAATTCCTCAATTTCAAGGTAAATGTGATATAATACATATATATGGCGCCCACCATGCAAACTTCCCAGAAACAGATATGAAATATATGGCGCGAGTGGCTTCAGTTAATAATTTGTTACTGGTGAACGACTGTTCTAAATCATGGCCTGCTGTACTAAAGAGGGTAGACTATCTGAAGAAAAATGATATATTTAACAACATTAAAATGCATATACCAGAAGGCTGGATCTACAGAGGAGCTCAGAAAGGATGGTGTATCGGAAGTTATAATGTAAAGTACCAAGCTGACCCTATACCGAGGAGTTTTATGTTTTTGAATAAAACGTCTTGTACACCATCATGGCAGGGATATAACTGTGATGTATTTTTTTCAAAATCTTGTTCCAAACTGAGTGATAAATGTTTTTATAGTAACGTTACTGGTACATTATCAGTGTCCTGTGAGCGATGGCATGGTGCACAGAGTGTTGAACAGATAACATGGGATAAACGTGTTACGTTCACCGACCGAAACGATGCACATGCAAAATCGTTTAATAACTATAAATCTTTACCTCAACATTTAAGCAATATCAATGAAATTGGCGCTGGTCCGTTCACTCAAGCGCAAACAATAATACAAGGCAAAACAGCAACAATCATTACCTTGATAGAACCAATGGCGTTCCTTTATATGACAAACGTGAAACGCTGTTTCTACCAGAATGGAAGTTTTGGAAGTCTGCCGATCACGATTTTATCTATATCTGCGGAGGAGCTGAGTAATTCACGAAAATTTGATACTTTGATCATGATTAATGTTATTGAACATGTCTATGACGCTATATCTATATTAAATGCAGCCATTGATTTGATTAAAGAAAATGGCGTTTGTATTTGGCATGAACGACTTTGGAATAACTATCTACGGGTTGCGAATTCTGAACATGATCGTGATTTTTAGTTGCATCCGATTCGAATCAAGCAGTTTATTGCAAAACAAGTTTTGTCTATTTTTGACGAAAACTATATTTCTTGGGACACAGAAGAGTTGCGTCGATCACAAAACCAAGGTGTGTATTTTATTGGTCAAAGGCGTAATGCGGTTGCAAAAACGCTCAATCAACAACACCGTTCTTGTTTTGAACAGACTAGAGGCAGGCAAACAATTATATTTTGTGTTTCAAATGAAAATGCGACATTCATTCAAGATCAATTGAAATTGGTAAATAATGCAGCTAATACAACACTCATCGTAATAATACAGACAAATAAATTTAATGAAACCACAATATCAAATGTTCTTCAATTTCCAAAAATTCGGATATTAATTTCATATCAACATTTACACAACTGGAAGAAGGAAGTTAGTAATTATGTTGAGCCTTGCCTTTTTATCAATCCACATTTAACCCTGACAATGTAAGAATGCTCCGATACTTATTGTGTTGGAAATAGTGGCGTGACAGTTATTCTAATGGGATATTCACCAAGCAGGCTAAATAATTACGACTTAATTTTTCCATCATATATATTTATGCCGATTATTAACCAAATATTATTAAGATGGAATAACAGGAAGATATCGTTTACTCCTAAAATCGACTCGCCAAAAATTACGTTTATCAAAGCGAAAGTCAACAGCATGAATAATCGTTTTAATGTATCACAATATGTTTATGCAGATGCTGTTCTGATATTTGACAATGATGTTTTTATAAGTGACTCCTTATTATCACTAATGTTATTTCGATGGAGTGAAAATATAGATAGATTAGTTGGTATTAGCAGAGACATGCGCTTTGTTAATTCAAAAAATGAATATTTAGTTCAAGGTAAAGAACCATCCTTGGTTATAGGTAAAACAATGCTTTTTCCCCGCAAGTACTTACAAATATATGCAAGATAAGGCATTGGTAGAATGGAATGATAAACGGTTTTAAAATCAGTCATTGTCAACTAAGAAATAATAATAGCCACCTAAAATCTCATTTGTTTAATCATTTTCTACCAGAAAACACTAGTTGTTCAAACTGTGATAATCCTGTTGATGATAACTTGCATTTCTTTTTTATTTGCCCTAAGTGAAATGATGTGATAGATCTTACTTGATTCCATTCACTCAATTGTTGATAATAATCTTGACATAAATATTGGATTTATCCGTTCATCCCCAAATACTTTTATTTAGCCTGCAATTGGGTGTCTTATCATACATAAATAGCCCAACAGATATCGCTAGGCTGTATCTGTATACTATACAGATATCGCTTTAAAGCTCCGCCAACTGCCGGACTACGTTTGTGTATTGCTTTTGACAAGTGTTGGATGAACCTGCGTGACCTCAGAATATGTATTGCAGTCGCATTCCAATGACGTATTGCTTGACCTTATGCGAACTATATAGATTAATTTACGTTCTGTTTGTTTTCAAGCATTTCTTTAGAGCGATAAAAATTAAACCCATTTTCTGATAACAGACAAAAATAAACAGCAGGATTTTCTACGACGACAATCATCGATTTCAAAACTTTAATGTGTACACAAAATCAACCATGTCAATTTCAGCGTGTTAAGTGAATGTTAAGTTAAGTTCAAAACTCTGAAGCGTAGGACAACTCATACACTTTTGTTTCAAATCGGACAATGTATTGTTATTTATTTTATTGTTGAAATTAATTGTTATGTTAGAATAGATAATCATTTACTTTTAGCGATGTATAATTGTAAACCATTCGAGATTTTTTTCTGCGAACCCGTCTTCAGCTGAATGTGTGATTTTAATATTATTACGCGGGCCACAAGGGATTTTAAATAAAAAATAAATGCAATAATGTGAGTTTTCTGTCTTTCAAAACACAAACAATTTACAGAATTAATTGCAGGATAAAGACAATAATTGTTTAGTGTCTTGAAATATCAGCTGTAATTGTACTCGGCTCGAAACAGGAGTAATAGCTCGCTGAAGCTCGCATTACACCTGTATCTCAGCCTCGTACAAACACAGGTGATATTTAAAGACACTAAACAGTTATTGTCTATATATATACCTGAAAAATGATGACAAGAATCGTGGAAAATACTGTACAATACAACATGCCATGTCAACCGTCAACACCGGCTACTCCGCAAATAAATCATACAAACAAACATGGACTATCATTTACTAACAAAATATGATATACTAGCTTATCTTTGTACTGGCAAACAAGAGGTGGGAATCAATTAGTTTAACGTCTACAAATCCCCCTAATACATATCTAGTTCGTGTGTCGTAAGATTACACATACATTAAAAAAACATGCACAGTGCAGCTACAAAGCGTATAATAACTAAATTTGTTTAATGTCCACATATCCCCCCTAATACATATCTAGTTCATGTGTCGTAAGATTAAAACATACATTAAAAACATGCACAGTGCAACTACAAAGAGGATAATAACTAATTTTCAAAAAGAAATAAAAGTGTACTTATATTGAAAGAAACGTATTCTATACATCTTTATATTATATTGGAAAATTAAAAGAATATTCAAATAAGCAACGTCGCCATCCTATATTAGCAAGGAACATACTATGTTACATCCGAACACGTTGATATACTATATCTACTTAAGAGGCTTCTTTTTACTTGACAAACAAATTTTTTTCTACGCGATTTTTTTCACCAAATTATACATTCATTAGACAGTTTTAGTTGGTAGACCAATTTCCCAACCCGGATCTAATTAAACAATACTTGATTGAATGTTAATTAAACAACAAATGCAAAGATGAAATTATTTTATTTCACACTTCTACACTCCAATGCATAAACTATTTTTTCTAAAATGCAGCTTCGCCGTTCTTTGGATTTCTAGATCATATTCAGCTAGATCTGTCATCAACTGCATATATTTTGACCTCTGCAACATGCAAGCATTCTGTACCTTTTATCATCAGTTTTACGTAACGTGCATTTTCATGGAAACATTCAAATAGGAGATGAGATCCAACTTGTGCCGGTCCAACGTAATGGGCACATAGTTGCATTTTATTATGTGATGGGCCAACAGTAATGTCCAAATCATGAAGACGTTCTCCTACAAATAGTATATTGGAATTTTTTACCTGAGAAATAATTGTGCAAATTATTGTTTCACTGTCAGTAGTTTGCCAAGATTTAAGTTTTTAAAACGTGTTCAATCGGTTTTTATGAAGATATAGAATAAAAAGTTGCGAAAGTTCAAGGTATATTATAAGATTTCAGTGTCAATGTTTTTGGAAACCTCCTAATTATTCCTCGTGAGAACAATTAGCGATTGGTTGTTTACGTCCTTACTGACTAAGTATAGACTCGACTTAAATTTGGTTGTTTAAGCATTTTTAAAGCACGCCACACATAATCCTGTATGACAGTCAATCAGTTAGGAATCTGAGAGTAATTAGGCATGTGTATGACTAGTGTTATTCTGGACAGTCAAATGAAAGCTCCTTAGAAAACTTGCTGCAATGAGTTGTTAAGCAATGTTCTTTTCTTGCTTCGACGTTTTAATTTCAGGTTTTTATTTGAACGCAATATACTATACAGTAATTGACCCTGTAATTAGAGATCCATATGAACGAGTTTTTTTCCCTTAGGAGGATCATAAAATTTCATTTCCAATAAAAAGCAAGCGGAAAGACCAAAGTTTTCTGTTAACAATGTATGTCAACTGCAGCTTATCGAATCTTTTAATAAAATTTAATCTGTTCTTATGCTACACACATTAACGGTTGAGAACAAGTCTACAATCTGCAAAGGGAAACAACTTTTGTTAAAATTGTGTGATAATGATATGATATGTGGTAACAATAATGAGAAAATATCCCACTTTTCTTAACAATAAACAAATCATAACATAAAAAAAAGCAAACATGATAATATTTACCACCTTTGAGTATTTAGTTGGTCGGTAAATTTTCACTTCTGTACTCGTACTGTGAACAACACATTTATTAGTTTTGTTAAAAATGTTAACTTCCGTACTCCTAACAACGAAATTATTATATTTAAATTTACCTATGTACGTTGTTTTATTTGACGCCATTTTGTCCAAGACTAGAGTTGTCTTTTTACACTGTTCTTACATTTTTTTATTAATATTGTATGCATATTGTGTCATAGATCAAACTTATTCGTTTAGTGTATGTTTACTTGTTTTTGTTTAAACGTCTTTTTGATCGAGTTGAGCCATTTCAATTGATATTTTATAGTGTGTCTTTTTTGTTGTATGTTGCACTACTGTCTCAGGTTAGAGCGAAGGTTGTCGCCAATTATAACGTTTAAACCCCTGCATTTATATGCACCTGTCCTAAGTCAGGAGCCTGTTGTTCAGTGATTGTCGTTTGTTGGAGTGGTTCATAAGTGTTTCTCGTTTCTCGTTATTTATATAGATTAGACTATTGGTTTTCCTGTTTGAATTGTTTTACACTAGTCATTTTGGGGCCCTTTATAGCTTGCTGTTTGGTGTGAGCCAAGGCTCCATTGAAGGCCGTACTTTGACCTATAATTGTTAACTTTTTATACATTGTGACTTGGATGGAGAGTTGTCTCATTGGCACTCATACCACATCTTTTTTTTTATATACGACAAACATACATACAAAAAATAAACAAATGAAACGACAAAAATGAACGAAAAATTTAAATTTAAATTTAACAAAATGATGAATATTGTCGGCACAAATTGTATAACTAAAGGCAACAGTAGTATACCGCTGTTCAAAAGTCAGTAATCGATTAAGAGAAAACAAATCCGGGTTACAAACCAAAGCCGAGGGAAACACATCATCCATCAGAGAAAAAACAACGGAACAACAGAAACACTAAACTGCAACAAAAACAAACGCCAACATACATAGAAACGGACTATTTGATAGCAACTGCCATATTTTTGACTTTGTACAGGACATTTTAAGAAAAAATGGTAGGTTGAACAGGGTTTTATGGCTAGCCAAACCTCCCGCTGATATGGCAATGTTAAAAAAAATCGCTAAAATGACAACACTACGTCACAGGAATACAGTACAAACAAACGTAAGAACACTCAGCACAGAAACATGCATAAATAAATAATACAATAGTACATTACAACATGTAAACCGCAGAATAACAACGGACATCTCCCATTAACGACAGCACAGGACATCGCAAACTGCGCGTCAGATGAATGGATCAGCGCCACAAAAAGTGACGTATTTTTGTGACGTATATGTAATCTTGAAATTCATATAACATGTCACCAGGCAGGACAAAAAATTCAAACCTCAGGTACTTTAACCCACCTGTCGATTTAGCTCCATCATTTATGTTGAAGATTTCAATCCGCTTTACTTGATAAGTTTTGCCAAAGTCAACCATCCAATAAGGGGATTTCTCTATGTTTGTGTGCATAAATGTGTTCACATTTCCATCAACAGCTCTTGATGCAGAATACAAAGCTCCATAGACTGAACTTTGTTCAGCTGGTTTTCCATGAGCAACCTCCATTAAAATGCTAGTACTGTTATCTGAAGAAAATAACACGCTTCATGTAGTATAGAATAAGGTACATTGTACTGAAGGTACTGATCACAAACTATATCTCGTTTTTCGTCTTTTCCTTCTTTTCATCGAAAAAAAAACCCCAACATATAACTATTGTTATGAATGGAATGTACCAAACAGAGGTACAAGTTGGCACTAGTACTGGTGACTTATACTGAATCATCGATGAAAGAGTACTCAACGTAAACATCATGAATATATAACATAAATATTAAGGCAGTGATCTGGTGAAATATTAAGATGTTAAATGACTATGCTTTACATACATGAATTCCATGGGTATAGGTGAAACACGAATTTAAATGTTTAGCGAGGTTTTAATTTTCTATAGGATTTTTGTAAAACAAGGAAAATAAATAACTAAAATAGATTTTTCTCGTAATCCAAAAATATTGGTTCCCAAGAAAATAAACGAGTCCACAGTAAGTCCAATACATAGAATCGACCTTATACTTTCTTAAACATAAGAAGGGAACATTAACTGTACTGATATAAAAAGGATTCGCTATTTAACACGAGAAAACAAAGACATGTAACGCAATTGACTTAAGAATGGGAAGTTGAGAATTGGAAATTCTTGAAATTAATTCTTTCGTTGTAGATCCCATAATTTTCGTGCTTGAGATGATAGAAGATTTTGTATAAGCATTAAATTCTTATCAGACATTGAGAAACGAAAGAAAACTTATGAAGATATGCTATATTTGAACAGAGGCACAGACAAATGGTATGGATACTAGTACTAGTAAATAATTGTGTATGTACTACACCTGAAAATAACACTTATAACTTGTGTTCGTCTTACGCGCTTTTCTGAGTTCATTGTCACCGGGAAAGATTAAATCCTAACATTGAAAGGTTATAATGTATGAAAGTTGAACATCTGAGAAGGTAAATGACCAAAGAGAGCACTATAAGGAAAAGCCAAGGTCAATAAATTCAGTTTTTGTTCTTGTATGTGGTTTAAAATTCTCAAGCAAGCAAACTTTACATCTTTACATGCGCGGGTTGGAAGCAATTCTAGTAAATCACATAATGGATTATCAGCTTCAATGTCTGAGCACTCTTCAGAAAACTTGTTGCAAACTTCATTGAATAATTCGCCATTTTCCTCGCATGGTCGTTCTTTGGCGGCATTTTTTCGATTTAGTTTTTAAATAAAGGCAACAGTAGGATACCGCTGTTCGAAAACTCATAAATCCCACTTTTATGGCAACGTCAAACACAACACTAAAACGACAACATCACATGACAGGACCACAACACAAATAAACATGATAAATGGGAGAACATATAGGACAAAGAAACACACGAATAATAGCTAACAAAAGGTACTAGGCTTAAAATTCAATACGCCAGACGTATCCTGTTACAATTTTCAGTAAGATTTTCACTTGTATTTAAGATAGATGTCTATATCTTTATCAACAACAGAAAGTTTATTACATCGATGTTGGTCAATTTCAATGAGACAGCACATTTTTACACGGCATCACTCCATACCGGAAGTACCTTGTAAGGTAAATATAGTATTATCAAGGAGTTTTTATTCGTTTGAAATAGTGAGCAATTCATAACAGAATAAACAGTAGATATGTTTTACCGTCACAACATTTACATGTAAGTGTTGCACTTATTTATCTTCATTAGTTCATAACAGTCACACCTCTTATTTCAGCATATTAACCTATAAAGTGGGCATACATGTATTATATTACTGGTATAACGTCTACCATCTCCTATCGATAGTTTATATCTGAATAATGTTTTAGCAGGTGCAACATGGCGTTTAACTACAGCTTGTGAGTACTTAGAAAAGTGAACCCGTTCTTCCTGAGCTCCTATCTAAAAGGTATATTTCTTTATTTTAGAAGTATTATATTATTTCACAGCTTATTATGTGCGCGTCAAGTGTGTTGGCCTTGAGATTCACCGAAGATTGGGGAGATACGCAACTGATGCAATACAATTGATACCGTGAAAGTGTTATTATGAGTGTTTCCAAGATAATAAATATACGGAAATTGGATATCATATTTGAATTAGGTTGAGGTTATCTTTCTATATTTATTCCCAAAAGTAACACCGATATCTTTCAAGATGGTAATAGCCTGTATGGATTCGGACATGTGACCAGTAAAGAATTTAAAGTTATATATGTTAAGGGGTGATATTCGCCGAATCCATAATAACTCATCTTTCAATATTAACCAACTCAAGGATCGTTTCGATAATTCAGTTTGGTCTTTATTAGCATTAACGAGATATAGTAGACTTTGGTTATGTTATAGATAATGCATATTTTAAGGTTGTTCTTGTCGTAGAACACACCGAGGGGTGTCAGGATTGATCAAAGGAAAGACCGTTTGGTGGATAGTTGTCTCATTGGCAATCATATCACATCTCCTTATTTTTATATAGCTTCATCGAGCGTGCATCTATCAGGTGAAATCGGATGCTAATAAGAAACTTTTGCAGCTCATTGTACATTAAATTTGGCTGCCTGATAAATAAATTCAAATTTTGGATGAAGTTCAAGATTACGAAATTTGTTGTTGAAGTTTGCAACGTCCATTGCCCAAAATTACAGAGATATAAAAGACGATGCTATGTAATTAATTATTCTTTATCTTTCCTGTATCTTTTCTCATCTTTTTCATTAAGCGCATCCAGCTCCATACTTTAGAACCTGATGGGCTTAATAAATAAGACGAGATAAGATACAGGACACTCGCGGAAAAGTGATTTTTTTTTCAATAATTTTAATTGAATCGAATGAAATATTCAGAATGATTTTCTTTTGAATAGCAATACATTTTTTAACAGATAATCAGGATATAATTATATACCCTCCCCCTAACCGACCTCATTGTGAGGTACGTGAATGTTATTCAATAGAATATATTAAGAATATTTTATGAGTTAATCATTTGATAGAGTAAAAGGTATACATAAATGTAAAAAAATTAAGAACTGACACGAAGGGGGCACTAAATCGTGATACATGTACATGTTACACGAAAACGAATATCAATACATGTAGGTCACAGTATGATTTCCTATTCAGTGTGTATCGTCCTGAACATGCATGAAATATTTGCCACTGGACGTTAAGTAACACACGTAACCTATTCAGTGTGAATCAATAAGATTTTCAAAATCTTACACACGAATATGTTAAATCTGGCTTTATTTTAAAGTGTTATGAAAGTTTTACAATAAAATTCATCTCGCATATATGATAATGTCTCTGTATTGTAGCGATAAATTAACAAAACTTCACATTATTTGTTTCTAAAATCAAAATTCGGGCAATGACGATTTTTTTTACACCTATCATAGATTGAACTTTAAAAAATAAATTCCCAAATCGGCAACAGAGACTATCAGACGAATATAATTTTGAAGTAAATTATTGTTTGCATTTTTATCAAGGAAAATAATGACCTCACACATGTCATTATTTTGTGCCTTGGAGCATATTTCATTGAAACATGGTATCGTCCGGGTTGATTCTTCGAAAGAATGACCTATCGTTCTGAAAGAAAATAACTCCATATAGGTATATAAGGGTATAGATTGTGTTCTCTATGGGCATTAATATTGGAAACGAAAGGTAGTTTCGATCGTTTCAAGGACCTGAACTAGAAAGTAAATTTCTTCTAGTTATCTGCCAATAGACAGTTATTTGCTTTCCCGCGCTTCATGGGTAATTATCATTCAGCATGACAGGGCAGACTCAAATAGAAGTGTAAGGCTTTTTTATTGCTTGTGTGAATTAAGGTGATGTTATATAATGTTTTTTCATTTTAAAATAATTTATAAATAACTTACTTTCTTTTTTGTACATGATATTGTTTATATCAATGTGCAACTTAACACAGCATATGGCACTGTCGTGTGGGTATTCAATTCGATTCTCTAATTTTGTTTGTATTAACATTTATATGTACTAGGCTTTGGTTATGAACATAGGGTTGTGATATCTATTAGCGTTTATAATTGAAGAATAATTATAGACTGATCAAGCATCTATGATAAGCAGGAGATGCTAACAATAAAATGGTGTAATTTTAACTTATTACGCATATTCATAAGTTGTTTTTATCCGACGTTAATATGAAAGTATGATTCAAAGTACAGATATGCATACGTTTTGAATACATTTTCCTGATAAAATCAAGATAAACAGTAAGATAACAAAAAGTTTTGTGTCTTTTTCAATTATGGCTAATACTATTTTTGATGAATGAATTGAAAAAGACATGCTCACGATTTAAAACTATTTTTTTCGATTAACCATTCCGATGGTTGATGGAATGATAAATGTAATTTGTATCTCCACGACTTAGCACAAATTCTGGTACATGTATGTGCATACACTGAATATTTTGTTCAGTTAATGAATTAGAAAGAAAGAAGTTTAAGCCGTAAGCACCAATTTTAAGTAACCGATTCAACATGTCCTTGTGTCGCATTTCTATGTCAAAACCGTCGAAAACTATTGCGTTTTTAAATGTGCAAGTGTTTATACTACTGACACGTTGGGAGACCTTATTTTTAAGACCCCAGTAAGTTGAAGATGAAACGGATATAAAGTCTTTTTAAAAACTTGCTACATATAAGTGCATTCACTAGAAAAAAGATAAGTGTGTCTTTTTTGCTCAACCATACTGTCCAAGTATATAAGTTGAATGTTAATCAATTACATCCATTTTTATGTGCTGGATAACACACTGAACCTAAGCAATTATTAAAGCATGGAAAAAAGGTCTATTCGTAGAATATTTTCTGTTAGTCAATAGATTTAATGTTTCAGATCAGGCAGATATTTCATTTCAAAGCCTCCCAAGCAAATCTGTGTTTCAGATATGCTTTTGAAATTTAAATATCACGTTTAACCTTTAGATGTTAATATTAAGTATTAGTAAAGGTTAAACTTCCCCGTTGATTTAAACATATT